AAATCCTGCCCACCATCCTTGCCCTTTTTCAACAGTGTTATATCACTGGAAATCCAGTCAGGGACAGACCCCTGGCAGAACCAGGTTATTGAACATGACAAAATTGGAATGAAGATGTGCGACAGTCTCAAGAAAAATTCATAGGGCAGACCATCAAATCGTGGAAACTTGCCACTGCTGACCCTCTTCAATGCCAAGTGAATTTCAGCCTGTGATCTCACCCATGTAGCTAGCTGCTTCAGTTGACCCAAGCTGAGGAAAGTTGGTCAAATAGCCGTGAAACTCATTGCCACAGACCAGGCTCCTTGGTAAAATGGCTCTTGAAATGTCGCTGAAACGCCTTACACATGTCTTTAGTAGACTCCAGAGTACACCACTCTTGGGTTTTGACTTCTCAAATGTAACAATCAGAACCTGCATCACCTCAATCCTCCCTGAAAAGGAGGAAGGAAGGAAAAAAAAAAAAAAAAAAAAAAAAAAAGGAGCCCAGATAAGGCTCTGATATCCCCCCTCCCCCCACCCCAAAAGAAAAAGGGCATCTGTCTGGTGGATAGACAGGTGCTTGAGAGGGACCTCTCTTCTCAGAGGGAAGGCCCTCTTGAGATCTGTTTAAATTGTCTTCCGTCGATGGCAAATCGACTAGCAATCCCAGGAACTTTGATAAAGCACCTGGAGTCATAATGGTGATAAGAATTGCAGGCACGAAAGCCTGGGATTTTAGCGCAGCAGCTAAGACTCCTTCCCAAAGCTCGTGATGGCTCATGTGGAGTATCTGGATCTTCAAAAAGTAGTCAAATACTCTTCAGGAAGAGGCTGCAATTTTGATCCACTCATTATACAGGGCTCTGAAGTTAACTTTCTACAGACACTGGCATGATTGTCACCGACAGGCAGATTACATCTGACCTGGGCACTGGTAGCCTAAGACAAGCTGTCAGGGTCCCAACTCCTGCAGATTTCTGGCCAGTTTGTGTTTAAGAGAATCTGCTTATAAAATCTAACAAACTAGCCAGCTTGAATATGAGGGGCTTGATAGATCAAGATAAGGCTGCCTGCGATCCAGGAGACACATTGTGATGTTGATACTCGTGTGCTGTCTAGTGACTGTCGTCTATTAAGCATACAGGGACCAGCTGGCCAGAAGTGTTTCCTTGTTGGCTAAATGTTCCCTGAATATGAGGGTGGCCCAAACTTCCGAAAAAACATCTGCCACAATCAACTGGCATTGACAAGGTCCACCCTTGTATCCAGGGCATGCTTCACTAGCAAAGAACAGATAAAGTAGTTAGACAGCACACAAGCATCAATGTTGCAAGTGTGTTTCCTGGATCGTAGTGACATCCACACCAAATGACAAGAAGTCAAAGCAGGCAGACAGTCTTACTCTGATCCCTCAAACCCCTTACATTCAGACTAGCTACCTTGATAGTTTTTTTTCTCCATTCAGGCCTAAAAAAAAAAAAAAAAAAAAAATAAATCAACCTATTCACATACAGGGCAGAAATCTGCAGCAGTAAGGACCCTGAGAGAATGTCCTAGGCTCCCTGTGCCCAACTGACATCATCCATCTAGGACAATTCTGCTAATATCCAGAGGATAAGTTAATTTTACTACTCTATATAATGAGTGATAGAGCAACACAGACACTCCTTGAGCAAAATATCAGTAATTTTTTCTAAAAAAAAAAAAAAAAAAAAAATATATATATATATATATATATATATATATATATATAAAAAAAAAAAAAAAAAAAAATATATATATATATATATTCATCTAAACATTGCTAACTATACATAAGGTATCTCAAAGGAACAATGAATGATAATTTAAGATTTCAAGAATAAAATTCTCCATAATTAATCAGATTTTGTGATGCTGATTGGGGATCATCCAAATACAGGAAAAGCATATCAGCATATGGTTTTCAGTTATCAGAGAATGAACCATTGATATAGAAAAAGTGGAAAAACGACTGTAGCACTGTCAACATGAGACTTAATTGATGCTCATTTGAAAACAGTCTTTAGTTGCATGAAGAAAAACTCATTACTTTTCTTTCAGAGATATGAACAAGACATAAAAAAAAGTCAGATATAGAACTGATATCCTTTTTAATAAGAGTAAGTTAAATACCACATTTCATAACATTTTTGAGTTTGACCAAGACAAATGCTATTCCAATTTTCTATTACAGAATAGAGTTGTGTTCTTTAAAGAGTTAAAGTTTAGCTTTTGTTAAATAGGTAAGAAGACTGATGTTTCCGGCACCATTTTTTGCTGCAATTTATTTTCAGTACAATTATACACAAAATTCATGAAATTTATTTCAGGTTGGTCTCATTTAGAAGGCTTATGATTTGCACAGCAAGCCATTTTTATCTTCAAAATCTTTATATAAAACTTCTTTCAAGTTTTACAAGAAGCATTTTTTATTTTTTCTGTCCCCCTCCCCCGCTCACAAAATTGAACATTTTTTTCATGTTTAATACGAAAAACATTCAATTTCAATAGTCTATTAAAAGACAAGGTTCTCAAAGCCTCGACCGATTTTGTAAGGCAATGATGATCTTTTCAAAGAAACTACTAGTCGCAATGACAATGCAGGACGTAAAAACTCACTTCCATAAGTCATCTGGGTTTAAATATTACACGTTAACCGAGCAATATCAAAAGTTAATGTAAATGTTATTGTTTAAGTGTTACAGGAAGAGAATGTCCTACAAGTTAGAATTAAGTCTTACATTTAGAACTAAGATTTAAAGTTTAAGAAGAGTACAAATGGTCAAGTCAAGAAGACTCAAGCAAGAAGAGTAACACTCAACAGTTACAAAATAACTATGAAAATGCATCAAGTAATTGAAAAATAAAAGAATCTCCTCTCTAGACACGGAGAAAGATAACTGTCTACATCTATGAAATTAAATAAAGTCAAAGACTATGCTCTTTAACAGAAGTGAATATTCTGAATAAGAAAAAAAAATCAAAAATGGCTTTCAAATTAATTTATTTTACAAATAAAGTGACAAAAGAATGGTTAAAAACTTTCATTTGCCTTGGAGTTGAATTTCAAGTTATCATTAAAGAAAAATTAAAACTATATAAAACTTAAGAGTGTCGTAACCTGTTTTTATGTTTTAGTTTATTGGTCCAGTCATCAAAAATAAAATAAGTCAAGTAAAAAAATATAAACTTCAAAAGATCTGATCTTGTGATGTAAGAAATTTTGCGCACAAATGATTTTTGACATTATTTTCAACAGACTAAAAAAAAGAAAGCTCAAATTGCTCACTTCATGATCAATTTTTTAACCTTAACTCTCAACGCAACATGGATTGGAATAACAATGATTCCAATTCCAAACTTAGCTTCCATCTCCTTTACAAAAAAAAAAAAAAAAAAAAATTCTGATGTAAATTATTTGTAAGTTTACAATTTTTATCAATTTCAATAGGTTCATTTATTTTCTTTTGTTAAAAACTTACTTCAACGGGCACGTGTTTTTTTTTTTGTTTTTTTACTTCTAGCTAAAAAAAAGTAAACGTTTTGTTTTTTCAGAGTGTATTAGTGTCGGTTTAAATATTTTGAATAGGATTTGTTGACTGCTTTTTTTAATTTTAAAGATTTGGTGAAAAAAGATTAGGAAATAGCCTAGTAAAATAAGACGAGAGGTTACTTTTTTTAAAATTATTGATATTGGCGAAAGTGCGTGATAGAAACTGTTAGTTTTCTTTTTTTATAGTTTATCACACAATTCTAAAAATTCACCTAAAGATTTTATGTTGCAATATAAAAAAAATGTCTTCGTAAAATTCATTAAAAACTCAATTTTCAGTACAGATCGTAGAAATTAAATTCACAAGCACAATTAATAAAAAATTAAATTTCAATACAAATTGCAAATAGTTATTCACCAGATAGGAACTTTTTATTTTAAAAAAATCGAACAAAAGTATTTCGTAATTAAGTCTTTTTTTCTCGAAGTTATCTGAAATGTGTTTTAGGGTCAGTCATTTTCATTTTAGTCAGAAATTAAGAAATGTTGGAAATTTAACGTGTTTAAAAGAAAATGTGCTGCTATTGTTGTCCATTATTGCATATTTCATAATATCAGATTCATAGAAAACACTGCAAGAAAATGTCTTTATTAATAAAACATACGAGAAAACTCAAATACTGTAGTGTAGATAAAAATACTAATATATTTTACAATTTTTAATATTTTGAATTTTAAATCCTATTTTTTAAAGCATGGTCAGTTTAAAACAAATACGATACTTTAAAAAAAATATGGCACTCTTAGCCGAACTTTATTCATATGCTGAAATAAGCAATTTTATAAAGCCTCTCTTTACAGACGATGTCTCATCTCGCAGAAGCACCAAAGTAGTGTCAAGTCAATCAATATTCAATAGCATTGCAGCTGACGGCATGTAATCTTTTTTAGTTAGTGTAGTAATCTGAACACCTAAGACAACCCATTATGATGAGGAAGCAGAATATAAAAATTAATAAAATAATTTTGATTTTTCTTTTAGTGTTATGTAAAATTGCTAGTTCCTTAAAAATTTATGGCAAAAAAGATCTAAAAAATTAAAAGCTGTCTTGCTTTATTTATTTCAGCCGTAAACTATTTTTAGTCTGCATCACGTAATCGAATTGAGACACCAAGAATAATGAATAATTTTAAATAAAAACAAATCAGTACTGAAAAGTTGCTTCAAGGAAGTGTAACAAAAGCAAAACGTTTTTTAGTGCTACTATCAAAGATGAAGGCTAAGCAATGAAGTAGTTACTTTCAAGCATTAAATAAAATAAGGGGGTGAAAACTGATAATTTGTGTTTTAGTTTTTTTTCAAGACAAGTCTTTTATTTCTATGTAAAATGATTATTATTCATGAATGAAAAAGAAATTTTTTGCGTGCTTTTAGATTGCGCCTTTTTCCACGCCACCATAAAACGGGTAATTTGGGTGAAGGCTTATTTAAAGAATTACTTACTTGTCGCGTAAATATGTTTGCAACTCTTTGACGTTATTTGTACTTTTTAATGTTATGAGTTGTGGCCCAAAATCTTCCTCTTTCGCGACGTATGGTGCAATTTGTATCACATCTGGTTCCATGATTACCCCTTGTGATTTATCGAGATGCTTTGTGTACGTTTTATACTTTTCTGTTCTGTACCACGTGATTTAACCAAGTCCACGTTTCTATCGACCGTTTAACGCCGTAAAATGCGGAGTTCAACAAAATAGTTCGGTTTTTATTCCCACCATAAAATGCCTCATCAACACAAAAGCAAATAAAAATTTAAACTTTTCCTATAACAACCATCCTTTATATTTTCTAAAAAAGTTTAAATTCGAATCATTGTTTTCAGACCCACCGGCGGTATTCAATATTCGACAGCGAAATTAACGCTTGCTTTTTTTTTTATGACAGAAAAAAAAAACATTGTAAAACAGCTTGTGGTTTACTTTTTTTATACTTTAGAGAAATTGCGCAAACTTCTCTGAAGAAGTTTTAATTTGTTATTATTCATTTACATTTTCACTAGTTTTTCATTAATTTTTTTGTTTGATTATTGTAACTAACACTCAGTTCGATAGGTCGTTTTGTTACAATTATTCTACAAAGTTTAATAAATGATTAAATCAGAATCAAGCCCCGAAACAATTAAAGGTATCGGATATATCATAGGTAAACTTCTGAAATATTCTCACATATTTGATAATAATTTTATACATTTTAAGGATAACGATATATTGGCATATTTGATGGACTGTTCTGTTTACTAAACTTCCAGTGTATGTTTTTTATGCGTGTAGGGGGCAGTGGTAGAAGTAGTAGCTTTGTTGCTCGGCTTATTATTAAGATGGACGGGCAACACTGGTCTTCACACATCCACTATTGGTCCTGAGTAAGACGATACACTACATCCTGCAGCAAGACCTCTTAATTGCTGTTGTTCCCAGGTCCACCCTGACCCAGGATAGGATGACATCTGACCTGTTAGGGCCCCAGCTAATAGTTAACCTCCAAATTGAGGTCCTGTTGGTCCTGGTTATGATGATAAACTACACCCGGCATTGGGTAGGTGGAGCTCAACAACCTGGGAAGGTAGTTTACCTAGGGAAAGAAAAACCCTTATTTCAAACCTCTGCTGCCTTGTGGCCATATGCAGCCATAGAAAAAGGCTTCAGGAGTAAACCTCAAGGAAAAATCTGGAGACAGAGTCTCTAAGGCAATTCTCTTTTGTACCCAACCTTTTCTGGCAGCTCCAATGACGTGGAGAGGGGGGACATGCTACATGGACAATAGCCTGTCTTCCATATCTCATTGCCCAGGCTTGCATTCGACCACATCACACTACACCAAAACATCCTGCACTACACCTGGGGAGGACATTCCAGCTTATAAGTTACCGGTTATAAGCTACCACTCGATTGGTGTAGAGCAAAGCGCCAGGGGTTGTTCTCATCAGTAGGAGAGATTTTCGGATCTCATTGAACAGCTACCGCCAGCCTCAAGCTGGGCAGCCCCAAGTCAGTAAGGTGTTGTCCTGCCACGGTCTACCTTCTTCATTGGGTGCATAGAGATTAGGAGACATCTGACAAGCAGACTGCAACTTTTGCACCAGGCAACAACAAGAATTTTCAAAAGAAATCAGCTCTAAAACTGGTCTGTTGGAATGTCCATACTATGCTGACTAGCTTCTCTGAAGACCCCCAGGACATCAGTGACTCCAGAAAAACTGCCGTCATCAATGGCAAGTTCAAGAGGCTTCATGTGAACATTGCCACTCTACAGGAAACACGTCTAGCTGACTCTGGATAGCTGAAGGAGAAGGACTACACATTCTTCTGGCACGGGAAATGCTCCAATGAACCATGCCAACATGGAGTGGGCTTCACAGTTAGGAACAGCCTGCTGAATATGGTAGAATCGCCTCAACACCACCGCAGACAGTGTCACCCTCATCAATGTGTATAACCTGACACTCTGTCACAGCAGACACCAAGGACGAGTTTTATGACAAACTGGCAACTACCATCAGCAGTATCCCCAGAAAGGAACAACTTGTTTTCCTGGGCAACTTCACCAGAGTGGGTGCTGATCATGACTCTTGGCCTTCATGCCTTGGACAGTTTGGCATTGGCAGTATGAACAACAACAGCCAGAGACTGCTTGAGTTATGCACTTACCAAAACTTGTGCATAGCCAACTCCTTCTTCAGAACCAAGCCCCAGCACAAGGTGTCCTGGAGACATCCATGCTCAAAGCACTGGCACCATCTGGATCTCATACTGGTCAGACAAGCTGCCATTAAGAACGTTCTTCACATACATTCTTACCACAGCACAGACTGTGATACAGACCACTCCTTGGTGTGCTGCAAGATCAAGTTCAAGCCCAAGAGGTTCCACTGCAGCAAGAAGCAGGAGAATCCTTGCTTTGATGTCAGCATGATGTGCCAGCTAGACCTTGTGCAACAGTTTGTCAAAAGGTTTGAGAATGAGTGGGCAACATCGTGGACTGGAGACTCTGCTACAGAGAAGTGGGAGACCTTGCAGGACATCATGCACCACACTACCTTGGCCACCTTTGGGAGAAAGACCTCAAAATCATATGACTGGTTTGAGGCAAAGTCTGCTGAGATGACTCCTGTCATTGTGGCCAAGCGCACCGCTCTTGCAGAATACAAGCAGTTTTCCAGCAAAAGAAACTTGCAGATCCTCCAAGCTGCCAGGAGCAAAGCTCATCAAACTCCCAGACGCTGTACCAATGAGTACTGGACAGAGCTTAGTGAAACCATCCAAACAGCAGCAATTACAGAAAACAGAGGGATGTACAATGGCATCAAGATGGCAATGGGACCAGTGAAGAACAAGGCAGCTCCCCTCAAATCCACCACTAGGAAAGTCAGTGTAGACAAGGGGCAACAGATGGAGAGAAGGGTGGAACACTATTCCAACCTCTACTCCAAGCAGAATGTTGTGATGACCACAGCCCTTGATGCAATTGAGTGCATGCTGGTCATGGATGATACCAAACTGACCATAGAGGAGCTTAGCAAGGCCATTGACAGCTTGGCCTCAGGCAAGAGCCCTGGCAGTGATGGGATCTCCCCTGACCTGATCAGGCACTGCAAGACTGCCCTACTGCTCCCATTGCATGAGGTCCTCTACCAGTGCTGGAAAGAAGGGGCCATACCTCTGGACATGAGAGATGCCAAGATCGTCACCCTCTACAAGAAGAAGGGTGAGCTAAGCGACTGCAACAACTACAGAGGCATTACGCTACTCAGCATTGTTGGCAAAGTCTTCACTTGGGTCATCTTGGTCTGCCTGCAGAAACTCACCAAACATGTTTACCCAGAGTTACAGTGCGGTTTCTGAGCTGAAAGATTGATGGTAGACATGGTTTTCTCCCTCTGCCAGCTCCAGGAGAAGTGCAGAGAACAACAGATGCCCCTGTACATCGTTTTTATTGATCTCACCAAGGCATTCGATCTCGTCAGCAGAGAAGACCTCTTGAGAATCCTGCCCAATATTGGCTGCTCACCCAAACTACAGAGCTTGATTGAGTCCTTCCATAGCAACATCCAGGGGACTGTGCAGTTCAATGGCAGCACCTCTGAGCCCTTCAACATCTGCGGTGGGGTCAAACAGTGTGGCATCCTTGATCCCACTCTCTTCAGGATTTTCTTTGCGTTGCTTCTGAAACATGCATTCAACACATCAAGAGAAGGGATTTACCTGCATATGAGATCAGATGGTAGGTGTGTTCAGTCTCAGCTGTGTCAGAGCCAGGACCAAGATATGTGAAGCCCTTATCAGAGACATGTTTTTTGCCAATGATACGACAGTAACGACTCACACCCAGTGTGAACTTCAGTCATTGATGAACCATTTCTCCTAAGCCTGCAGAGACTTCAGGCTGATCATCAGCCTGAAAAAGACAAACATGCTCCAAAACGCCACCAGTTATCACCATTGATGACTATGAGCTTGATATGGTCCATCAGTTCACGTACCTTGGCTTCACCATCATTGACAACCTCTCCTTAGATGCAGTGATTGACAAGAGAATCAGGAAGGCAGCCACAACACTTGCATGCCTCACAAAACATGTGTGGACCAATCCCAAGCTGTCGGTGAAGACCAAGATGGCAATGTACAATGCCTGCATTATCAGCACACTGCTATATGGCTGCGAGGCTTGGACCATGTACGCCAGCAAGAAAGGCATCTGAACACCTTTCACATGAGAAGCATCCACTGCATCCTGGGAATAGCATGGCAAGATAAGGTGCCCAACATTGAGGTCCTGTCTCAAGCAGGTTTACCCAGCATGTTTACACTGTTCAGACAGCACAGGCTCTGTTGGTTGGGCCATGTCCATCATATGCCAGATGGTTGCATCCCCAAAGACCTCCTGTATGGAGAGCTGGCCACTGGAAGGAAACCCACCGGGCAGCCACAGCTGTGGCACCATGATGTTGTGAGACGTGACATGAAAGCTGTGGACATCAAGACAGATTCCTGGGAGAGCCTGGCAGCCATATGATCTGAATGGAGAGGAACCCTGACCAAACACCTCAAGTCAGGGGAGGAGAAGCTGACACAAGTTGCCATGGAAAGATGGGCCTGCAGAAAGCAAAGTGACAGCTCCAACAGACCAGAGACAGAACACACATGTGACCTCTGAAACAGAGATTGTCAGTCCCGCATCAGCCTCTACAGTCACAGACGTTGATGCTCCAGCCAGGCAGACAACTAGGATGCCACCCATGGTCAACCCTGACCAACAGAGGTTTACATACATAAACTTCTGATGAAATTTGCTGATGCATTCCCTATCGGATTCTTTAGAACTTATCAGACTCATTGTAAGTCTTCTTAATGATAAGAGATATCCATTATTTTTTTTAGTCAGAAAAATGATGTGGTTTTTTTTGTTTTTTTAAAGAAAAAATTAGTTTCTTTTAGTTTTGTTTCTGTGTCTTCTGAGTTGAATTAAACATTTCTCATTATTTAATTCTGATAGGCTAGAGAATGATTGAATTTGATTGACCGGGGTGTGTGTGGTTATGTAGCATTTTAGTACAAACTGATCTTGG